TTAAACACAAGCCCTAGTATTCGATACTGAAAGTAAACAAAAAAATTCCCCTTTACATTACTTAATAAACCCTAAAAGCAATGATACGTATGTTAAGCTACAATACCGAGATCACTTTTACTTTCTACGTCAACATACTGTTACACAAGCCTTACGTTAAAAAAAAAGTCCATAAAAAGTTGCTTAAAGTGAAAAAAGCAAAAAGAATTCTTTGCCTAATTTAACATAAAATAGTTAATCAGTCCGTTCGATCCAACCAAGAAGTTTGCCAAGTGAAACAGCAACTGCAAAACCGACCGCACGACGAAAGTTATTCGGTCCGTCAACGGCTCGGGTATTCCAGACGCTTAATACCTAAGAAAGAAAACGAAAGACCTATGGAGAAACTACTTCATGGATCACACTGCCTGGCCACCAAAACACCACGTTTTCATTTTTTTTCCTTCAATCTATTTCCAGAGAAAGGTAGGAGTTTTTTTTCAAAATATTCTTCCTAAGCAAAAATTAATTTTCTTCCCACGGGGTTCCTAAGTTCCCAAAGTTTCACTTTGCAGTGAAACCACTAGCTGATCCAGTTGAGTTCTGAACATTGTGACGTCATTTTTATGGTCGATAAGGGTAGAGCACAAGGAAAATTGTTGTAGATTTGTTAAAATTTCACAAAGAGTATTATTGAATCAACCCCAGTACAATGATTTTCTTTTCAAAGTGCAGAGTCTTCTTACTTTACAGTTAAACAAGGTGCCTTTAGAAAAAAATTAAAAAGGGAAAATCAATACTTTACCTGCGACTTCCATAATCTCGGGGGTAACCTTCATATGCTCCAGAAAACCTACAAACAATTTTAGCTGGATTACAGAGGTGACTAACATCAATACTGGACATCTGGGGTTATGGGCATGACTTCAACAAGAGGTAGCATGTGGTCATACACGTAACAGGGCTCAAAAAAACTTGAATTCCAGTTTGTTCTTTGGGAAAGCAGCTCTCACATTTTGCTTGCTGGGCCACTTCCGATTTAACTAGAAGAATACTTGCTTAGACTCTTTCCCATTGGGTTAATTGATTTTAAAAGTACTTGCCCAGCAAGAAAATATAATTGTCCGAGATGACTCAACAGGGCTTCTTTCAATCCCTGGTGTTAATTTATCGGCAGCCACCTTAAAGTACTTCATTGCTGTCAAACTTTTAAGTTCATCCTTCAATGCTTGCCCTAACACACTTGTGAACCACAAGGATACTAGACTACACTGAACCTTGTAACCATAGTCAGAAGGACTGGAGTGAGTGGTCTCACTCTGTATATTCCCGAGCCTGAGGCTATGTTTATACTGTTACGACAGAACAGAAACTATACCAGACAGGGCTTCTAATCACACATAAGAACAGTGATTTCTGCATGATTTCTGTTAAAGAGCCAAGCTGTGCTGCACCGATCTCTTAAGTGGAGATTCACATATCGGATAGGTGTTCATACTACAGTATACCAGATAAACTTTTGTACTGGCACGAAAAGCAGCTACCCGGTATAAAATGAACATAGCCAGAAAGATCAAAAATTGGATCTTCACGACATCAACCCCTTCCAAAGCAACAGATTACCAAAGTTCGGCTGTAGATAAAGGAAAAGAGCAGAAATAATAATGGTACCTTGGAGGAGACCTTGGAGGACTGCGGCTTCTGTAACCATAACCACCACCATAACCAGGATATCCATAGTCTCTTGGGTAAGGAGGGCGTCGGTCCATGTAAGGGTCATAATAGCTAGGTGGTCCTCTGTAATAAGGCCTTCTCGGAGGTCCATAGTCATAGTTGCGGCGTTGATCATATCTAAAATATAGGGAGAATGGGGCATTAAAAAAGGTAAAGTAACTTAAAGCCGGAAGTGGCCCACAAAGAAAAAAGTTAACACAGAATACAAATAAAATTTCTGACAACTGCAAAACTGACAACTGCATTTGTGTCTACACTAGTTTTATTAGCCTGTGAGCACACTTTCAATCTGGGGGGTCCCGAAAAGTCACAGGAGAGCTGCACATGAAAAGACACACAAGTGCGAGGGGCCGGGAAAGAAAGGAGCCTCTTCTTTCCCTCTGCTCCTCATGGTGGCAAAAACACTGCTCACTCATGCAATCTCGTGGCTTGCATTGCTCGCCATAATTGGAGAGCTTGTTCACAGGCTAGTTTTATCCCATCAAAACAGAGCAAATTATATTTCTATTTATGGGATTACCTTCGCTTGGGACAGTCTTTTGCCCTGCAGAGTAAAATTAAAGAAATAGTTTATGAAAATTAAATTAAATTTGCAGTTAAGGACCAAAAAAGCTCAGTTGGCTGGACTATTCTGGCTATCATCCAGGGTTTTGTTTACATTCCATTAATAGAATTAGAAGCAAGCAGAAACATAAGTGAAGATGGAAGGTGTATCTGTTGTAGTGCAGATGAAAGACTTAACTACATATCTATTGCTGTTTTTGTATATGGGCATGGAGACTAAGGCCAGAAGTTTTTCAGTCCCATGAACAGATACTTGTGGCATAAACAAAGTGGTGTTACACGTGTGCATTTCTTTGGAACACACACTTAAGTATGGTATTTATATGTCTGACTTAACATTGCAAACTTTTTTCTTGCATAAGATCAAATTTGACCATTGACTCAACAAAATGTGAGTAACAGAGCAAATTGGGAACAAAGCAAACAGCAAATGAGCTGACTACTGCCTCAGCCACATCCATTTTGTTTTGCACCCAGACGTTATGTTATTTTGCTCTTGCTCTTTTCTTTTGTCTGTTTCCATTGATTCAGTCACTGGTGTACCCAAGGTTTAAGACCTGGTCTCAGTGCATTATGATCCACTGTTGGGACACTTTTGCCATTGAAGAAATAGACAAACAAACAAACAAACAAAGTTGCAATTAAAAACTTACCAGTGTCCGCATTTCCCACATGAGAAGCATTGATCTTCAGATGGCTTTCCTTTTGTTTTTGCGTACTAGAAACAAAACATCAAGTGTGTAAGAACAAAATGTGGTCAATAAGCTGAAAGCAAGCTGGCCAATGATGATTTTACCACACTTGGAAGTATTCTATGATCCATAACTAAACAAATGCACGTTTACTTTTTTAGGCAGTAACAGAAAAAAAAAAGAAGAAATTTGCATCCTAGTGTTTAGTTGCAATTGTCACCCTGCCTTGTTGTCTGAGTTTGCAGAGTAACTTTAGCATCTTTCTAGATCGACTTTCCTATTTTTTGCTCCAGTTTCTTGCCCAATGGTTCACAAAATTATTTGATGTGAAATAAAACATGGAAAAATAAATCAACTCACCTGCACTTGAATGTGAGTTCCACTAAATTCTGAATCATCTAGTGCATTCAGAGCATCTTCTGCATTTTTTTTACCCACCATGTGCTGAAAATATATGGTAAGCAAAACTGTTCATCAAGCTTATTAGGCCTTTATTTTCCTTTGTTTCTGAGAGTGACATTGGAGCCTCTGTATGGGCATTTCAGACAAAATTGAGGTCATGGTGATTGTTATTGCTGAAACAATGATCTTCAATATCGAAGTGATGATCACAATGCCATTCCGATCAAGTTTAACAATGTTACTGGTGCAATGATGGCAAAGGAATCGGCCAAAAAGTGAGAAATATTGAGAGTTTTTATTTTGCTTATTAAACCTGTTGTTTTTGTATTTTCTCATTTCCTTTGTTGTCATCGCAGTTGCTTGAACTCTCTAATGGTGGTTCCCAGCAAACTATTCCTGATATGTGACAATTTCATTGAAAAACCAAGGATTGGATGGAAAACGTGCAATGAAAACAACGTCCACAGGTAAGAATAGGCTAGCCTGAGAAAACAGCTGACATTTTGCGACGCCACCACTGGTTTCCCCCTGAAATGAAGTCTGAGAAACGAGCGCAGAAATTCCATACTGATGACGTGTCACTACCCAGACCTGGGTAGTGCATCTGATTGGTCGTGTCATGTTGGAAATTTGACTCAACCAATCAGAAGCACTACCCAGATCTGGGTAGTGGGACATCATCAGTAAGGAATTTCTGTGCTTGTTTCTTAGACGTCATTTGGTTGGGAAGCCAGTGGTGGTGTCGCCAAATGTCGGCCGTTGAATGAATGAATGAAGAGTCATGGATGCGAGGACAGCAGGCGTGCACTCTTACAATATATTTTAACATGTGAACAGTAAGCTCAGACGTCAGCCTGTTTTCTCAGGCTAAGCATAGGCAGCATCATTATGAGTTTGTAACAAAGGAAAATTATATAGAAACAAGAACAAATCATTTCATTTCACTACTATCTTTCTACAGTCACATGAAAGTGAGAGAAGTGCATGAGAGGATAAATGTCATGCACTAAACAGCCGAACTTCACATATTTAATAAACAAAACAGAATGGCAAGCAACAGCAAGCAAACGAAGATAATGGATCCAGAGCTGAGAAGACAACTTGAAATTTGACTTCACTAAACAATCATTTAGGCTTAAGCTTACCACAAACGCATAGTTTTTGACAATATCGCACTGGGACACCTTTCCATACTTCTCGAAGAGCTCTTGAAGAGCCCCTCGCCTGCAATGGTCTGGCAGATTGCCTACGTATAATTTAACTTCTTTCTCTTCTTCAGCGGGCTTTTTATCGTCACTGCTTTCCTCTTTGGCATCTGACGTTGCAGCGTCATTTTTTTCCGTACTTTCTTCTTTCTTGTCATCCACTTGTGCAATATCGTCTTTGGTCTCTTCCTCGCTTGCCATAATTCGAGTGTGGGTAAAAGAAGAACGAAAGAACTCTAAATTCAGATCACAGAAACAGCGTCCAAGATGGCGACCTCGTGGAACGAAGGAAAATGCTAACCCATCAGTCCTAGCAAGAATAAAATGCCCAGCGAGGAGACTGGAACCAGACTGGGAAAGTAACGCCTTGCGGTTCCTTGCGCCAACTTCTTTGCGCCCCCTTGCAGAAAACATGAAAATCAAAATGGCGCTTGATAAATGTATTTTATACTTGGACGAGAATTTCGCCAAACTTCCAGATAACGAAGAAACCGTAGGTGTTCAAAAAGCCATAGAGGAAGCAGTTTCAGCCTTGATTAGAAGCGTTGGCGAACAAGATGCAAGATTCCTTGGCAAAATTGAACCGTCAGGCAGTTTTTACGAAGGAACAAAAATACTGCAGCCTGATGAATTCGACTTTGTCGTTACGCTTTCTAGACTCGCGGAGTTTTGTGATATCGCGTACCGGGATGGAGGAAAACCTCATGTTTTAGTGCGGTTTTGTCCTTGCGAAAAGGATGATATGTGGCATTCGTGGGTAGATTTTTGTCAGGAAATGTCTAACGTCGAAATCGTAGATCCAATAACAGGAACATATTCGATTATAGATGGTCCCTTTCTCTACTTAGATGGCTCTACCCTGAAACAGAGGTTTTATTGCTTACTGAGAGAGGCATTTAAATCTGTAACATGGCCTGAAAACCTAAAATTCGTTTCTTCTACGGGGTTTGCTTTTGACAAGATTGGTTTGTCAGGTGCAACACAAGCTGCCGTGTCAGAGAAATTAGATTTTCTGTGGAGAGGTAATCTGAAAGTGTCAGTGGATTTAGCCTTAGCCATAGAATTTAACGGTTGGCCCTCACTGCCGGGGCTATTTGATGAGTTGTTGGTAGAGGGACATCCTGCATATTCATTAAAAATGGATATGAAAAATTCTGGTTTCCATGCTGTACCAAAACTAGGAGTTATATGGAGAATTTCATGGTCTAGGGCAGAGACAGCCATTTTGAATTACATCTTTAATCGAAATGAACAAGCTGCCATAAGCTATCGTGTTGCAAAGATGATCAAAGAGACACACTTTGTTGAAGTCATAGAACAATCGAGTTCAAACTTTCCCGTACGTATTTGTGAAAGCTATACAATAAAACATTTGTTAATGTACCTCTGGTTATCAAATTCATCTTCATCCGAATGTTTAGCAAAGGGTTGTGGTGAAATGCTCTTGGACCTTCTCAAGCTGCTGGTTGATGGACTTAAAACAGGTCACTGTAAACAAGTTTTTGCAAATTTCAGCACAGTAAAAACTGGCCCTCTGCTTCCGTTCCTTGCTTCAGCAGTGGAAAAGTGCATCAGAACTCTTTCTGAAATGCAGAATGTAGAGATTTCTCAAGTTCCAAGGAGGTGTGAGGATTTCTTTAAGGATGAAATACATGTTGCATTGCCACGTCCTCCGAGAAAACTCAGCAGTTATAAAATAACCAAGATACATTAAACATTGATAGGAAGTAATATACCCTGTTTCCTTTGCTGGTTATTTAACATCTACAAATACATTGAATTCACCCAAATGAAGAACTTGAAATCTTTCTTTTAAATGATGAAAAATTTTATGCCGTTTTAGGTAATTATGTGTTTTAGAAATGTAGTCAATTTAAATTTGTAAAAGCAACTTGAACGGAAGATTAGCTCTGTCTTGTAGCTCTCTGAAAGACAATTGAAATAAAGTGAATAATACTCATGAATACTACTGCCACAAGACATTCATATGTGTGACTTTACTTGAGGAAACATCACTTTTCTAAGGAATTGATTCTAAAGTGAACTATACTCAGGGGCACCCAACGAGAATATAGTTCAAAACCACTCAACATAGCATTGTTAAACGTATTTTAGTATTTAAACGGTAGATTTAGGCATAATTTTATCTCCTAAAAATTTTTTATCTGTTCGGATTTCCTAGCTGAAAGTCTAGTGATCCGAAAATTATAGGGATCAAAACTTACCTTTTCGAAAATTTCAGCCAGAAAAATGGCTCCCGAAAATTCTAGGTGACCTTTTTAGGGTGAAAATCGGTAAAAATGGGCAATTATACCATTTTTTAGCTGTTCGAAAATCCTTGGAGAGGCAGGCAAGCAAGAAATTTTCAACAAATGTTCCGAAAATTCTAGATCTCAAATCGTCTTCCGAAAAGACATTTCCCGAAAATTGACGTTGGGTACCCCTATATACTGATCCAGAAAGTGATGAAGATAAGAAGAGGACCATCATCACCTATTTCCAGTCCCCTCTCATACAGCAAAATTACAGTGCTTCATAAATATGGTTTCCCAGAAAAAACTGTTCTAACGAGCCTTCGGGTAAACTTCTTTGACAGAAAACAACGCGCTTTTGGGACTCGATGCGCAGCAAATGACTATTCAAGTTCAGTGACTAAGTCAGAGATCCGAAGGTTCTTGTATTCTAAGTCATGACCCTAGTATTTTAACCATCAATGCAAAAGCTGGCATCGCCATCATCGATTTGAACTTACCACAAGTTGACCTCACGATTTTCACTTGAGAAAAGGTGTAAAGCGAGTGGAGCGAGCTTTTCTGACCGCGAAGAGGCCGAGCGAGGGACGAAGTTGCGAGAGGTCGTCCTTCATCCCACGGAGTATTCCTAATAAGACGAAAGACTTTTTCGAAAGTCTTTCATCGCCGAGAGGCTGGGAGCAGTTTTCTTTTACACCCCACACAATAGACAGTGCAACTCTAACCGTAGCCTATGTAGCCTGCCTTCATCGCGCGTTCCGTTTTTTGTTCCAAATTCCTTCCTAAGCACCGGTTTCGCAGGCTATTTTATCCGTTACATTTCAAGATCCCTCCGGCTAATTCTCAGAGGTACCCATGCGGTAATCGATAGAGATCAGCTGAGATCACTTACCTGATCATTTTGAGCATTTATATACACCGATGGACATGTGCTTGCTTTGGACTCATCTTTATTTTAGAAGCAGACCACAACTTCTGATCGATGCTACAACGGATACTAAGATTCCGTCTCAAAGTAATGAGAAACAGCATCCATCTGCTGACGCCCTCCTCACGTGCCTCTGCATCTACCCCCTTAAAAAATGTCTGATATCTAGTCCCGGGAAGGGGTACTCGATATATCCCTGGGTGGGGAGATGCGGCGCGGCCCCTCATACCCTGACCCAGTTTAAGACAAATATCGCTGATTTTCCTACCCTGTTTAAGACAGAATTCCCATTTTTGATACCCTGTTTAAGACATTTATCCTGTTTAAGACAAAAATTGATAAATCGATACGCTGATTAAGACAAAAAATGATAAATTCGATACCCTGTTCAAGACAAAAATCCCGATAAACATACCCTGGCTGGCCGCACGTCGCCATTTAGCCCTTATAAGGGAGTACCACCCCCCGGGTATCTAGTGTACTTACTGACTAGAAATTCACGAACATGCTTTGCAAACTTTGCGAAGACAAGTAGTAGATGAGATTTATCTTTGGCTATTTGTTCCTACAAAATTTTTCGCAATAGTCGACATTTTGGTCATGTTCGTCTCACATGCATATGTTCACTGTTTCAGTTCGCGACGGTTGTTTCGCTACTTTTGCTAATGTCCAGTTCAATGACGTCTTACCTCATTTCGCTAACGTTCTTGATTTCTTGAAAGAGCTGAAGATAAGTAGTAAGAAAAATATACACCCACCCGAATCGTGACCCGGAAATAAGCCCTTAACTGATACTGGCTAAGGATAAGAGAATTTTCACCCACGGTCTCCACGAAGGCTCTGCTGGTAGCATGCATTTACATACAGTCTGCAGCAAGATTTTCCTTTCTATCACGTTTTTCCTATTTAACGAGTCAGAGTGGAGCTGAAAACATCTAATACGAATTGATTACTGCTTAGGGAAAACCGACATTACTGGAAATAGCTTTATTAACATACGCCTAGCCTTCAGTTATTCAAAATATGAGGAAAACGTGCATTTTTGAATGACTTCGAAGTATGGGAGCGCTATTTCAAATCATTTTTGGTATCTCCCCTCGCCTCCCTTTAGTTATGAAACACTCTTATTGTAATTTTTGGCGAAAACTATAGCAATTTTCTCAAAACTTCTAGGGAAAAGTTTGCGACTGTGTCGAAAACGAAAATTTCCGAGTTTATGATTCACTTCCTATCGTACGAGCGGGAGACTGGGAGGAATCTCGATGACGTCATAGCGGCAATGGCGGCGGCGTGAGGTGGGCATATCCGGTAAGAGACAAAACGCGAAACTGCTGTCGCTTCCTTGTTGTGATAGTCCATGAAGAAAAGGAGAGTGTTGGCCTTGTTTTGACTGACTTTTCATCGTTTCTCATTAATCAATGAACTTGGAGAGTCATCCCTAGTTAGTGAGATCGATATAAGTTTGGTGAAAGAACTCTGTGGGCGCGGCGAGTTGGGAATATATCCGAGTTTCAATTTCCCAACTTTACGATCTGAAACTCGCATTCAAGATTTTGGAAATTGGAGTCGTCTGTCTGCATAATTGTCTCGGAACGATTATTGATAATTGTTATAAGTCGATATGAGGTAAGATTGCAAAGTTCTATTGCTTTGATCTGCTTGTTATTTGATGTGACAGTCTATGCATAACCGAACATTCCGAACAAAAATTGATTGCATTCTCGATATACTCTACCGTGTGTTTGTATAGTCTGATTTCTGATTCCCACTGTTTTGTTATTCAATCAATCGTAGGTACTTTCAGCTTAAAAAATTGGTCAAGTCTGCGGTATTTTGTTGAAAAGTAATGGTTATTTCAAAGCAATTCGGCGTTGGTATGTCGAACATGTTTTAAACCTCAATCATTCGCTCTCGCTTCGGAAAGCCTAAACTTGTATTATGGTATTTAGCGCTAGATTGCAGTGCTTCGGGCACTATATTTTATCTTTAAACTGCAAAGAAATAATTCCATATATGCGTTTGTACTGAAGTTGTAGCTTAAGATGCTTGATGACGTTGTCGGGATTAGCTTCGTTTCATTACATTTAGCACGATGAAGTAATGTAATAACTCGATCTCATCTGGACGAAAGTCTTTGCGAGGATGAAGACGTCGTTTAACAAAGGCACGCAGCTGAGCTTCTATGGCGGGTTTTACTGCTAATTATTCCATAGATCGAACTTTTCTACTGGCATGAACATCTCTCTGGTATTGGATTTGGTGAAATTGACACCAAAAATTCTTGTGGAAAACGACATGGTCGTGCTCAGCTTTGTTTCGATCCTCGAAAAATAGAGCAATGAATTTCAGCTTTTAGAATTCCCTCCACGTTTTCGGAGTGTTCTTTCTCGTCAAGAATTGTAATGATTATTTTATAAACTTTGCAGTTTTTAGATAGTTTCCTCCTTACAGTCAGTTACAGCAGTAAGATCAGGGGATCTGGGCCTTGTATTTGTAAACAGTAAAAATTCCAACCCTGTTGGTGAAACTCGAGATCAGTATACCTAATACTTGATCAGCGTTCGATCGAATTTAATAAATTGTGTTCGTTTCTCTCGTCTTCTATTATACTTTAAATATACACCTGGTATGATAGCTAAAAGAGTTTTTGTGGCATTGAAAATATTTATATATTTGTAGTGAGTCAATCTCTTACGTTTTGCTTCAAAGAAAATAATATTGGCTTTTAATTTACAATAGTAGCTGGATTGTAGTCGCAATAGTCTCACATAAACAAGATTGCTGATGGTAGCTATTAAAGTGTTGGTAAACCAGGAAGACATATATTTAGAGTTTTAACAAAATTTAGTATTGGAAATTCAAGTTCTATGAAGTCGACTATAGCTTTCTCGTGTCCATCTGGTAGCCTTGGCACATATATTCTGTTGTTTCAAACCAAGATACGATCTGCCTCAGTGTTATTGGGTAATCAGACATGTGTCCCTTTGAATCTTATCTGCGTAGATAATATTTTTCTTCCATTTTCATGTAAGTCAGAAATATCTGAGGTATTTTGTATGCTTAGACATGTTCAGTAGAATTGTTTTCCTTTGAGTTTAGTTGGGGATTCATTGCTATGTAAATATGCACTGTTTTCTGAACAAAGGAATCTGTTCTTTTAGGGTGTTATTTCTTTAAATTTAAAAACAGTGATTTGGATAAATTCCATTGCAAATATTTCCAGACAGTTTATGCCTAACATTCACTTTTTGGAGGTACATATACAACTAAAAGAATGAATCCTGTATCTTTCTCATAAACATTTTTGTTATCATAAACTAAATTAAACTCTGCTGGGATTAAATGGCAAGTTTGGTAATTTCCTCATTCTTACGGATAGTGTGGTTACCAGGTGACCTGATGCAAAAGACTGGAAAGGGTCCGAACAATAACCCACACCACAATGTTAACACATTACTTGACAATTAGTTTCTACAACATCAAGAAACACCTGTGATAAGTTTTCTAAAAAACTCTTGATATGTCACCAGGGGTTTTAATAAGCTCTGACGGCTGATGAAACACATCGGCTACTTTGCTCATAGAGGTTGGCTACTTTTTTACAGAAAGAAGAAGCAACTTGATTGAATAACGTTAAAACCAAAAATATATCATAAAATCTGAATGAAAACGTAACTATGATTTGTTTTCTGAAAGGCCCACTGGTTTTACGTTATGCTTTAGTCATGTGAACGCTATATTTCAGTCATTTTTTCAAACGTTTCTTACAGGTTTACGCAGAATTTGTTTATGTGCAAAAGTACGTAATTTAGTTTTCATCATTTTTTCATTGCTCGTAGGAATTGATTGTGACTGGTAACTTGAAAGCTACATTTTCTTGAATGAAAAACACGCTCCTTTGTCCTCAGATATAGTCCCCAGAATGCTGAAAATCACATTTTTTTTTAAATTTCAAAATTTTCTGGGGCGGAACGCGCTAAGGTCCTCCCCCCCCTTCTAGAAAAAGGGGACCAACAATCCCTTGATACAGTCGGTTACTCTGTTCAAACCGCTGGCTACTTCAATTTTTATTGAAACCCCTGTGTCACTGAGCTAGCCCTGTAGTCTTCAAAATGATCAACTTGTTGGCCCACAAACTGGTAGTTGTGCTTGAGTTTTCAACATTTTTTGGCATTCTTTCTTTGATTTATAAGTCGTTGTTATACTGTGGAAAATTGTGTGTTATTGGTTTATTTTATATAGCTTTGATTTCAGTGTAAATTTTGTTTTCTTTCCTGCAGTGAGCAATCTATCGCCCAGGCACGGGCATCTGTCATGCTCTACAACAATGAAAGAAAGGAGTGGGAACATTCGGGTGGCTCATCAGGAATCTCCAGAGTCCATGTTTACCATCATCCCATCAACAACACATATAGAATAGTTGGCAGAAAAGTCCAAGATCATGCGGTATGTTTCCAACTGGTTTATGGTACTAGTTTTTTTTGGGACAAATTACTACTTGCGAGAGTGTGAATTCTGTCTTGAAGTCATATTTGGCTTCATTCATCAAGATTTTTTACGTATTAAAAATGCTGACAACAATTTGTGTAATTTTTGTGATGTTTTTGGCCTGGTGAGGGTGTGGATGGGTTGTCCTGTGGACACCCTGTTTTAGGATTAAAAAGAGATATTTTTACATCTTGGTTTTAGAGCTGCTGGCTTTATTGAGAGTTTAGGAAGAGTTGAGAGAGAGAGAGTTTTTTTGGCCAATTTGGAAATTTAGATGCTTCAACTTTTCAACATTTGCTGGGTTAAGGGTTAATAATAACTTTATAACTTTAATAATAACTTTATTTCTATAGCGCTCTTATCCTATGTTCAACGCGGTTTGCTTCCAGACCTATGTCCATGCCTTCCTGGCATTGCTTGTGGACACCCACTTACAATTTCCAGGTCTACAGTTGTACTATGTTGTGTTATAGGTGGTTATAAACTGTGCATTGGCAAAGGGATTAAAATACAATGAAGCAACACCAACTTTTCACCAGTGGAGAGACCAAAGACAAGTTTATGGTTTGAATTTTCCAAGCAAAGAGGATGCACTAGTTTTTGGCCAAGCTGTGTTTTCAGCGTTGGAAGATCTCAAAGGTGGGGGTTAGTTATAAAATTATAAAAGTATTATAATAATTGTAATATTTTATATGTCTAGAAAGCTGCTATAAGAGTATCAAATAAAAGTTTCTGAATGAGTAGGAAATAATTTTGACAGTAGTACATGCTTAATTAAAATACCAGATTGATGTAAGTGTCTGTGTGCTGCCCACAGGCAGGTCCTTCCTCATAAGTCTCGATCTAAGGTGCGTCTCTTGGCCGCTACCTAAGGTCTGCCATCCTTCACTCAATCCAGCATTCCTTATCGAGGTCTTCCCAGTGGCCTTTTTGTTATTATTCGCCCCTCACAACTGATGGGACAAGATGGCCATGCTATAGGTTATGACCAAGCCATACTCTGTCTTCTTTTGATAACAAATATGATGGCCCTATCAATCTTCACTGAATTGCCTCAATACTTCATTACAGACTTTTTCAGACCAAGAAATGTTTATGGGCCTTCCTCCAAAGCCACATCTCACAGCTCTTCAGCCTTCAAACATCCTCTATTAGGTGCCTATTCCCAAACAGATACCTGACAAATTTTCGGTGGGCAATTAAGGCATGAGACTTTTACCCTGACAGTGTGAGGATTGACAGTGTTTGTAGAGGACCAGATCTTTTTAGAAAAACTCTAAAGATTTCAGAAGTCGTCTATGAGAGTTACTAAACTCAGTTCAATAAAATGATTATTCATTCTGACCTCTTTTCTTTTCTCACATTAATTTGAGTTTATTTCACTTTATTGTTTTTCAAACAAGAGTCAGTTAAGGCTGTAATGGCTCAATTCTCCACCAGGGTTGAGAAATTGGTCTGCAAACATGAGCTGGCTTGCAATCAAAATTTATGCAGGGGTGAAACTCCTGCCTTAATGATAAGATTTCGCAAGTATTCAAATTGTTGATGGTATGTGATCAGTGACATTTTGGTAACTGATTTTTGTACTTACTTTAGGCATGGCCCCTCAACCACAACCAATTATTCAACAACAACATTATGCACCATCATCTCATATGAGCAATGGCAGAAATGAACCGGAAGAGATATCCTCGCATCACCGGGACCAGCCACAGTATGATACTTATGACCAGTATTCCCGTGGAAGGGTACCATCTGCTGGACCAGAGCGGACCTACCACAATCAGTATGACATGCAGCGTGACAGACAAAGCCCTAGTGTAAGTTTTCACTTTTTATCATTTACAAGATTAAGTATCAAAATTTTTTATGCTACTGACCGAAGGTCAGGGGCCCGTTTCTCGAAAGTCCCAGTAACTTTACGGGCCCGAAATCAAATATTCAAATGGAAATATAAATAATAAGAGCATGGGTCCTGGCTAGCAAACTACTCCATTTTGTTTCATTAACTGACAGTTTTATCATGTTGGATGCAAAACTATTGAAACCTCGATCTTTAATGTAAATGGAGATGGCTTACCGGGCCCGTTAATTATCAGGACTTTTCGAGAAACGGGCCCCAGGTGCCTACTAATAGAGGTTCATGTATCGTTTGACTCACAAAATGTTTGTTTTTAGCCCAGTGCAGTTTCCTTGTCAACTTCTCCTGGACCACAGCCAGTCGTCACACAGTCAAGTAAGTTATCACGTGAACTATTTATAATAAATCCCATTTTAAAAATTGGGCTGATTTCCTTAGGATTATTGGATCCTTATACCTACATGCGAAAGTGTGCTATTCAATTTGCTGACTGGAATTTCCAGTTTCCTTATACAAATAAACAATATACCTTCCTAGCTTCTGTCTTAATTAAATATTGATCTTAACACTTGCTACTCTTTGATGATCTCACCAACAGCTGCCCCCCCTGCTCCACCTGCGCCTCCAGTTCCGGCAGCACCACCAGCTCCTCCAGCGCCGCCTGCTCCGCCTGCTGCACCCCCTCTGCCAGTAGGAGGTGGACCTCCTGCTCCTCCTCCACCCCCAGCAGTTCAAAGTGGGGGAGGTGGGTCATTGGCTGATCAGATTGCTGCTGCAAAACTTAAGAAGGCCTCAAAGGTAATATTTTCAGGTTCTCATGTCAAACAGATTTACAACATTTGTGAGCATAAGAGTGGATTAATTTGTCACTTGATAATAAATACAACAAATGATCTTGCATATGCAGCTCTCAATAGTTTTTAGAACATGACTGGTCAATTACCCATTACTTTTTGCCCTTGGAAAAATACGGACGGAAGCTAGTGTGTGCTCAAAGCTCTACATGTCACTTTCTTTGTGACAGCATCATAGTTCAAGGTTTGTGTCTTAATAGTAAGGGAATGTTTACAAAAACGATTACACTTCTTTTGTCAACTTCTTGCGTGCAACCTTAACTGACTTAACTTGATGGTTGCACACTCCATGTTTACCATTTCTTAAATTTATTTTACCTGTGTATGATGTGTATTCAAAACAGGCATCTTTAGGCCTACCCGTATGAATTTCTCTGAGGTATTCTCACATATTAATAGCTTCAGTGAAGCAATGCTGTAAAGGTGCGTAGGAAATTCAACTTGTGTGATAATATCTCAAATTCTTGTGACCTTTCTGGTTGACTAATCATACATCATGTACGTGTAAATATAATATTAAGGAGAAATTTGGAGCTGATCTTCATTGAGGGTTAAAGGGTTGAAGATTGCTCACTTTGCAGAAAAATTATTTGGTACAGAAAAATATTTTAATGGATATCATGAAAAGTGAAAGGGTTTAAGAGGTTGAAAGAGCATTTATTCCTTTCAAGGCCGAGAATGAAGGCTTCAGAAGTGACAGAGCCAATTCAGCAAGTCGTGGGGGCGGAAAAAATATGGGAGGTGGTATGGACATGATGGCGGAAATGCAAAGGAAACTAGCGGCAAGGTCTGTTCCATGATTTGACTTCTACCTTGTTTTAATAGCAGATGTGATACAGGAGACAAGGGGTCTTAACCCCCTTGAACCCTTCTCTGATTATAACCCTTATTAGCAATATTCCAAGAGGCTTGACTTGCTACCAGACACTAGCGTACGTTACCACTGTGTGACTCCCGTGGCTCATAGCTGTGCCTCTACCTTCCTCGCTGTGAAGGCCAGAGTTTTATTTTTGTAGTTCATGATTTGACTTAGCCTAAAGTATCTTTAGAGAAAAGTCTTAAGTTACTTCAAGCTAATAAGCACTGATGTGTATTTTTTAGAAAAGCCAAAGAAGAAGGAAGAGACGTGGAGGTAAGAGTGGTTTGGTCCTGATAGTTAATGTTGCTTATTCATGTTTTTACCTGTGAGCTACAATAATGATGATTCAGCTGTGTTCAACAGATTTTTCTTGTAATTCTTCACTCTAGCCCATTAAAGAAGAAGAAAAGCCTGAAAGAACTGGTAAGTATTTGTTAACTCTTAGTTTGTGGGCATATTTGTAGACAAGAAATTGTGTCAGTTTGAGGAACTGAAAGAGCCCTTTTTCAACTGATGGTGACAGTTGTTTTGTCTTTTTTAAGGTCCACGCATAAGCACTAGCAATCCACCTTCAACTCCTGCATTTGGGAATAGCAATTCCAAAGCCAATTTCCTGACACCAGCCAAGCCATCAAGTAATAACAACGGAGTCAGGTAAGAACATAATTGTTTCATAACAATGACAATTCTACTCTTTGGTAGGTCAATTAGGCAAGTGCACTGTTTTAGGACGTGGCAAGCAGGGTCCCATGGGTGTCAATACCAATTTCTTACTCCAAAGGTATAGCATACGCTGTAGCTTATTTTCTGTGTCTGCAATTTGTGTGCCTTATGTTGTAAGTATGACAAGTATAAGGAGAGGTATACTGTCCTTACATGATGTAGTGCGGAAACTCAAGAAAGATTGATAAGTAACAAGATCACTGCTGTTGAGTCATTCCTCATATGCAGAGAAATCACTCAAACAACTTCTTCAAATCAATGTTTTGTTGCAGGAAATCAAGCAAGAGTGAATCACCATTAAGTAATGATCAGTTGGAGGAACTGAAAACAGTAAGAGTCCCTAATTAGAGCTTGTCTATTTCTTGCCTTTTATCCTCTTTTTTTACTTGTTTGATTTGTTAGTTTTGCTGAGATGTTGCTGTAAATTCTGTAATAGTCATTTAAGAAAAAGTCTGAACATAATGAATCTTTTCGAAATATTATGAATATTGATCTTCTGTATAATGCCAATAACAAAAAGACAAACTAAACGGTTTTCTGGCCGTGTGAGTGTGTGATTCCTCGTATCCGTACCCACATAGTGTAACCAATCAGAACGCGCGTTTATAAGTAAACCTCGTTTTACTTGTGTACTTATATATTTTGTCCCAAAGTAAAATCTCAAATTTTGCTTACAAACCAAGTGGCTAAATGGTTGGTTTTAAGTGTGGAAATCTGGTAAATCCTCCCCAATTTTTTTTCAGGAATTACTGGCTGAATTTAGACAAGAATTAGATGCAGCAAAAAGAGAAATAATTGAAAGTAAGTCTGTGTGACTGAAACCACTGCATGTTTGTGAACTTGTGCGTTCCATATCCGATAGTATGGACGGTGATGGTACGGTGGCGAAAAAGTCGCTTAAAAGTGAAGTCTCGCTGTTTTCAATCTTCATAGCGAGTATTCCATCTCACTTTTTCAAATGTAGGCGAACTCTCCTGCCGTTGAATTCCTAAGATTTCTTTTTCTAATTCATGAAATGAGACATTTTCACGTCGGAGTCGTAAAGTGGTAGTAAACAAATGTACAAAAAAGTTGTTGTTTGACTTGTAAACTTATTGCTTTTTGACGTTTTGCCGTCGCCATCGTCGGATCTTAGGTTTCAACTAGTGTAGAGCTCCCTGTTATTCGCATCTTGTAGAAATATTTAAATCGTTTTGGCTACCATTGAATTGCTACAACTCAGGGACCGTACTAATGATACACCTTTTATAACGGGTCAAAAATGGCCCACTGGTATCCACATCTGCTGTGTTGTCGATTAGTCAGATGGAGTAATCAGATAGTTTGCGACTACAATGTAGCCCGACCAAACGGGAAACAAAAATGAGCGATTGCCAATTGATTGTGGAAAGTAGTTCCGTGAGTGCTACGCCTTTTAACGCTCTGCGATTGGCTGAAAAATCCCTCCTCAACCAATCAGGGGCTCAGCCCCCCAAAATCGTGTCTTATGTCGCTCTTGCTCGCCCGTTTTCCCGCCCTTCCGCCAGCCACAAATAGCGTTGGTATCTGATTGGTTCATTTGAATATCTACGACTGTTGTGATTGGCCATAGAATTAGGCCCTTTGCAGCTAAATAGACACATGGAACACATGGTACAAAAACAACTAGCTGGAGGTCCAGCAAAGCAAATGGACCTTTAATAAAAGAAATAAAACTATTTTTTGTAAATTACGTTAAATTCTTTGTTTTTCTTGCGCTGTTAAAGCGCACAGGGTCGATTAATTGGTTTTAGATTTCTCAGTTAAAAAGAGCTCTAAGATAACAAAGTCTTTACTTTTCTTTCAGCTTTGAGACAGGAAATCTCACGAATTCGGTGAATCAATTCTAAAGCTTCCTGAGGAACAATTGAATTGGGGGAAACCTCTGATTAATGGAGTGAACTGAGAAGATTATTATCTACTCCTACGTCGATAACTATATGAAAGATAAAATTTCACAAACGAGACCTCTGGACGGAAGTCTTATAGGTGAAAATGTATCGTAGAGCAAAAATTTTGGTATTTTTTCGCTTGGTGCGCGGAAAGCCATCTTAATGAGTCAGGGACAATTATATGTGTAAAATAGCATGAGGCACTCTTTGTGGCTCTCAGATAATGCCTGATTAAGACAATGCGTGTTAATTGCTAAGAAAACCGTGGGCAACAGACTACATCTGAGATATTTATTGAGTCGCGGATAGGGTCGGGTTAAATACAAGCAGGGGAAGACTGGACTCTGGACATATAGGCTTAGTCTATTCAAGCATAAACACGAGCAACGTCAGTACGTAGACGCAGTTACCTGCTAATTGTTCCCGTTCCTCGCCCATGAATGAAACGGGTTGTTTCTGTGTTTGCGTCTGTTGTTTGAGCTTAGCCTTCGCCGTACTTATTTCTATTCCCGGATCAAACGTCGAACTTGACTTGTGTCAAACTTTGTTATAAGGCAAATGAGTAATAACAATAGATTTTGCTCATTAGCATTAGGTTTGGGACTTGTGAAGCTCGACGGTTGACCCGGGCCTTAGCCTGCGAACGCAGACGTATTTCGGGTCGTCGCTTATCTCCACCCGAGTGGAGTGCAGGTGAAGCGACGACCAGAAATACGTCTGGGGTCGCAGGCTACCCGGGCCTTGGTAACCACGGCGACGACAGCAGTGTGAAACGTGCTAGTTAAGTATCTTTCCGTTTTTAAAACTTATGGCGACTATTGTACCTTTCTCAATTTGTCAAGTGTAGCCGAATTCTCTGGAATCAAAGACCGCACCTTAGTTCAAAAGGAGAATTGAAATTTCTTTGTTGTGCAGCCACGTTCTCTATAAAATGTCGCATTACCTGATTAGGAAATTTTACGCATACCTTTTGCAGAGGTTTGTCGCAGGCTTAGAGGACGATAAAGAAATGCACCAATGCACGTGTAGAGTTGTTGTTTTGCTGATTGAATCTATTGTATTTATAACGTTTTCATTGTCGTCGCCGTTGTTCAAGTTCCCTCCCTTTATGGCGGCAGTTTAAATCCAGCTTCTGTTTGGCGCTTTACAACGTGACTCATGATGAATATTGTTTGTTTCATTTGTATAATAATGATAGTGCGGTTTCCTAACCTGGCTTCCAAAGTACTTTATTTTTGATCTATTGTTCTACTTAGTGTAGTATATAGGTAACGTGCATTGCGTTTGCCATTTTATGCCACCATTTTGAGGTTAATATTCATACACTAGTGCATGAGTGTTGCTATTTCACTACAAACTTGCGTATTGTCCATAACTTGAGCTTCGTTCAGTTTTGCATTCATGTGATGCTTGTGCATGAATGTCGGTGCTCCCAGTTACAGGGTTTGTTTATTAGGGTAAAACGCGTTGGCTCAGTTTTGTTGAACATAGCAGGGTTTTAATCATTATCAAGCGACATTGTCATACAATAAAATATAGCAACGAAGCAAATGACGGTAAAATTGTAAAATAAAATGTATTGAAATTTGTCTCCTGAGGTTAGTGTGGTTACTGCACTGTAATTCACCATATATTTGCACAACTCCCATAATACACCCTGTTTTCCCCCCTACCCCCGCCTCCCGAAAAAAAAAAAAAGCATTTTCTTGAATTTCCCTTAGGACGACTGTAATACCCAGGAGCAGGAGCAGAAATTCGTTTTGTAAATTCACCACCGCTTGTAAATTTGAATTTACATTAAGTTAATGGATGTTTATGATGTCCCTGATGCTGTAACCTGCGCAGCGATCAGGCGATTTTTTTTTTCCCCGCCCAAAAAAAAAAAAAAAAAA